AAAAAAAAAAAAAAAAACTCGAGAAAAACACACTTCTTTGTTTGGAGCCGGAAGCTGCAGGGAGCCACGATGGTGTTGGCCAAAACACCTTCAGCCTTCCATTTTGTCATCACTTGTCAAACTATCTGGTGTTCTGGACGATCGCAATGTAGGATCTTTTTACAATGAAAAAGGAGCATGACAGATGTGCATATATTACGCGACGGTACATTTCCGGTCTTGATAAAGTCACGATTTCAATTTTTCCCAAAATTTTGGCTTTTCCAATCAAAAATTGCAAGAAGTTTCACTAGCATATTAAAGATAAAAGTTTAAAATTACGAAATTAAAAAAAAATATTTTTTTTCGAGCAATTCGTCATTTTTCGTATCCTAATACCTTAACCCATGGGTTTGGATGAGATATCCAAATAGGTCATTTCACGGATCCCGTTACTCAAACTCAGCCTCGAGGTTAAGCCGCGGGATCTGCGAAATGGTCTATTCATGGTCATTGGATGTCAGCATAAAAGTATTTCCCCATTCTTTCCACTACACTTCACTCTCTTTTTCCCTTTTATTCTCCACTGCCTTCTCCTTTTTTACCTGTCTTACTTTTTTATTTACCTACGTATACTTACCTAATTATTTTCCTAACATTCGGTGTAATTCGTAACTAAAGTCCGGTGACTCGAACTGGGCACGTCTGGCGCGATATTCTAGAGCCTTGCTAACTAAGCTAATAGTGAAATCGTTGATAGTTTTGGGTTGAGAACTAATTTATATAAAAGACTCGAAAAAACAAACGGAATCGATATTTATCGAGGAGCATCCAGTTTAGAAAAGCTAGTTTAATGGAGCCCTGAAAGCCCAAGATCGAATTGGAATTGAGAAGTTTACTTTGTATAAATAAAACAACTCAATTTTTTTAGCGGAACTCCCGAGCGGAGCGGTGCCCCATACTTAAGAAGAAATGGTAAACCATCGAATTGATTTTTCATGGCTTGGCTGACGTCACTTCCGTCCGTACGTCCGTCCGTGTACGCAAGAATCCTGATTGGCTGGTTAGATTATCTTTTTTTTTTTTGGCGGGAATGTCGACGCGTTGCAACATCCGGGTACACATAAAGGTAAATTCGGCTATTAAACTTTTGTAAAAAATCGTTTTTACACCTGTTATTACGTATAGAAATACCGAAAGATAACAACACAATTTTTTATTCAAGCTTATATTTATATTTATATTTATATTTACGCTATTTACGATGGAACCCCTTTCCGAAATCAATAGGTTGAAAGAAAGCTCAGAGGAGAATGAAGCCAAAAGAAAGGCAAAAAGTAATAGAGTTTTTCGGAAGAGGAAAAACTCTGGAGGCGTGAAAAAGAAAGGCAAAGAAGACGGAATCTCACCAAAGAAAAGCGGCAAGCAGAGAGAGAGAAAACGCAAATACAGACGGGACTTCGATTATGAACAAGGAGAACATGATAGTGAAAGAAAATGGAATATGAGGCAAAACTTGACGGATGAACAAAGAGAAAATGAACGTGAAAGACAAAGGAATT